TAGGCCCAAGCAACCATAACTTTAACCTGCCTAGAAAGTACATAGACGTTAATTCTGTATGCAAGCAAATAAAACTACAACAACAGTACAAACCATAAATAATATGAAACCCGGAATAATATAAAAAAACAGAGCTAAAACGTCAATCGGCGAAATATAGACCAATGACTAATAATCTGTAACCGATGTGAGAGCTATTTAAAGTAACTAATGGAAACATGTTTTAGGATTTTACCGTTCAAGAGATGTAAGCCGAGCGGCGGAGAAGAATAAATATCACCTTCAAGAGATTTCTTATCAAACTAAAACACCAAGAGCAAACTTAATATACCGTGCGTCATCTTGATTTACCTATTTAACTCCGGATTTGACTATGCGACTCTTTTGACGATACTGCAAACTGAACACAACCGTGCAAACTGGTGGAGTTTGACCTCTTTTGACAATTCTGCAAACTGAACGCACGATCCACCTTTTCGGTTCACGGATATTACACTTTGATCTCTTTTGACGATTCTGCAAACTGAACGCTAATCTTTGTATTCATTATGGACATCAAGGTAATATTTTGTGAGGAGCGTTGTAGTGCGTTTTTACGCAATTAATAGTATAGATTCATTTCAAATGATTTAATAAATAAAGATTTTAAAAGTTATTTAGTTTTAAATAACACTAGTTTTTAAAACAGGATTTTAAATCTTGATTGAATAACACTAGATTTGAAAATATTTTAATGATGAATTACAACTAATATATCCAATAACAGTGGATTCAAAAACATAATTTAAAATCATTAATTAAATAACACGAGATTGTGATTGGATTTTAGTTCATTTCAAATACAACATTCAGTAACACTTTATTAGAATACATGATACTATCTTAGATAGGATTATTGAAACCATATCTTGATAATCTACATAAAATATGAAATAAGAATTGTGAATAATTCTAGTTCTACATATTCAGCTTTGTGATATTTGCAAAAGATATGGTTTTACATAACGAACGAATGATTTCTGTTGATTCTACTGATTTTCATTATTAAAGAAAAAAAGTGGATGAATTTGGGACATGTAATTGTAGGACGAAGAATTCACCAAAAATGGGGTGTAGTTAATAGGGGTGTCAAAATAAAAAATTAACCTGGTTCAATTAAAAATTAAGAAGCTCTAAACCAAAAAAAAATAAAATTTAATGTGTGTCACTTGAAGTCTTGAACCACACTATTGGTTCAAGTAGATCGCCTTTGATTGTAGGAAGAAGCAATTCACCAAACCAACTAAACAAATTTTTTGTTTTCATCGGCAACCCAAACCAAAACAAACCATATGCAATTAGAAATTAAGTTAAAACATAGAAGTTGAACTAAACCAGAAACTGGCTTTCACGCCTCTGCGTTTTCTGGGTTGACGACCTATTTCCCATCACGAAATATGGTGTCGTACTATATGCGGTCCAAACTAAAGGTCGGTGCTAAATCTCCATGAAAACAAAGTTCCAATCTTATATCCCCCTCGTCTGAAAGTTTCAAACCTTAGACCACATAAAATCGATTTTGTTGGTTATTGTTTACAAACCAATCATAAATCTACCAAACCTGATCCCTAAACCGAACTAAACTCAATTTCAACTAAACCAATTTGGAAAAATTGACCTAAACACAGAGTTCTTCTTCACCTGGGAACAATAACGTGAATCCTTCAGACAATTGATCTTTCACACAGCTTCTTTCTTTTGTTTTTGCCTTTGTCTCATCTCTTTAGCTACTTCTTCCAAATTCTCTCTATAACTCTCAGCTCCACCATTAACACAGTCTCCCTCTTAATTCCAAGCTCTGTTTTCCAGTAAATTTCTAGCTTTTGTTGCAAAAACTTAAACTTTCTGGGTTTTATATTCATAGTTCGATGATTTTCTATTTGGGTACTAGACAAAAGAGTAAAAAATCTTGCTTTCCCCTCCCAAAATGCTCTAATTTAAGAGAAGCAGTGTCCAATCCACATCATTTTCCATGTTCTGCTCTAATTAATTCGCACTTTCTGCTTATGAATCGTCCTTTTCCTTCAAAAAACCAAGCTGATTTGTGTTCAATTTCCCGGCTAATTCATCTGGGCACACTCCTAGTTATTAACACCACATCGCCATTAATGGATCTGCTCATGGGTCATTGTTCGGCGTCTTATCAATGTATCAACAATATTTTCCTGGAATTTGTTGGATATGTGTGGATTCTGGGAAAATATTGATGGTGAATTAGAGAAAAGAAAAAATTTGGGGAAGAAGAAGTGTGGGGTCCACTCATATTTTCTTGGGTCTGGTCGTATTAAGTTATAATTGGGTTAATATCGGTTTAGTATCAAATTTAGTTGGTTAATATTTAATTGGTATACAGTAAACCGGGTAAAACCGTATTCGTGTGCAGTGAGATATAGAATTTTCAATCTAGGGAGATTTAGATTTAGAACTTTGATTTTGTGGAGATATAAGATTGGAACTTTGTTTTCATGGAGATTTAGCACCGACCTTTAGTTTGGGCCGCATATAGTACGACACCATACTTCGTGGTGGGGAAATAGGTCGTCAACCCGCGTTTTCTTCGATTTCTCCGATGTTGGTCACTCTTCTGTTCTATCGCCACTTGTGTGTGTAAAATTGTTCTCATTGTCATGAAAGGATTCAGGTCCCAGGAGCCCAGTGGTATTCTCTGGAAATGTCTGCGATACTCCAAGGAGCTGGAACTGCGACGGCCCTGTTGCCGAGTAATTCTATCGATTGCAACAGACTCGTAGCTCCTTGTTGCTCATCTCTGTCAGGTTCGCTCTCTTCTAGTTTCGTTTTCGAATTTGGGGGTAACGATCTGGTTTATAAGTCCTATGCTTTTGCTGTTTATATTGTTTTTTTTTTCGTGTTGATTTTGATAAGATCTCAGCGGTGTTGTTTTTGATGCAGTAAGGAGCAAGAGGTACATTGTGGCCGGATCTGATGGGATTAAGAGCCTTACTTCTGGCCTCAAAGCTCGTCGCTCTGAGCCATTGATAGTAAATGCTGTTGCGGTATGCATTTATCTTGGTTTTCTATTTTGGTTTCCTCTTCCTCTTCTTAAGCTTCTACAAACGGATCTTTATTTTGTCTGTAGACGAAGGCGGACAATGCTGCGAGCTCTATTACATCAAAGTCTGGGTATATTCTGCATCTTTTGGTTCTTGATACTTTATGCCAAGGGGTATGATTTCGTGCATTGATTTAGTACTGTTGGACTCTTGACCATAGTCATAAATGTTAATTGAGGGAAAATGTTCTCAGGCTCATGAGCTTTGACAAGTAAACTGTTCTCAGGCTCATGAGCTTTCATCTATGTAATCTTTAAATTGTTTGTTCTCTGATACTGCTTGAACAAGCTTCCAGTTAGAATAGTTTCATCATGTTTGAATATGCAAATGTCTTTCTTTTTTGGGGTGTCAAATCCAGGCTAACTCTATATTGTGTTAGAATCTCTGTTGAAAAGAGCCATACTTGTGATCTTTACAAGTGGTAATGTTCAAATTCAATGAAATATTGTTCTATTGAAAATGGTTATCATGGTAGATGATTTATAGGAAGAATCTATCTTAAGATGATTAGGTGAAAGTTGTACATTTCAAGTATTTAGTTTCATGGTAAATCTCTTATGGAAAAACTTCAAATTCTGCTGTATTGGCAGAGCAAACACTGATTGATTTTTTGACTAATGCATTTTCACCTATGAATTCATTGTTCCAAGTAGCACATCTCTTGCTCTTGTCTCTGTATGCCAGCTTTATGCCCTTTGCCACAAAACACAAGCATTACTAAGTTTAGCTTTAAAACTTGTGCAGACATGAGCTATTGCTTTTCGAGGCTCTTCAAAAAGGTCTAGAAGAAGAGATGGACAGAGATCCACATGTATGTGTCATGGGTGAAGACGTAGGCCATTAGGGAGGCTCATACAAAGTGACCAAAGGGCTAGCTGATAAATTCGGGGATCTCAGAGTTCTCGACACACCCATCTGCGAAAACGCCTTCACCGGCATGGGCATTGGAGCCGCCATGACAGGACTAAGACCAGTCATTGAAGGTATGAACATGGGGTTTCTCCTCTTAGCCTTCAACCAAATCTCCAACAATTGTGGCATGCTTCACTACACATCCGGCGGTCAGTTCACCATCCCAGTTGTTATCCGTGGTCCCGGTGGCGTGGGCAGGCAGCTTGGAGCCGAGCATTCACAGCGGCTCGAGTCTTACTTCCAGTCGATTCCTCGGATCCAGATGGTGGCTTGCTCGACTCCTTAAAACGCTAAAGGGCTGATGAAAGCTGCGATAAGAAGTGACAATCCTGTGATTCTGTTTGAACACGTTTTGCTCTATAACCTCAAGGAGACTATCCCGGACGAAGAATACGTCTGTAATCTTGAAGAAGCGGAAATGGTCAGACCCGGTGAACACATCACTATCTTGACGTACTCAAGAATGAGGTACTGAATCGCAAGCAACTAAAAAGCTCTCTTCTTCATTGAATCAGAACTAAATGGAATTATGTGTATCAGGTACCATGTAATGCAGGCTGCAAAGACGCTGGTGAACAAAGGGTACGATCCTGAAGTGATCGACATAAGGTCGTTGAAGCCGTTTGATCTCTACACTATTGGGAACTCGGTGAAGAAGACGCACCGGGTTTTGATTGTGGAGGAATGTATGAGAACAGGAAGGATTAGAGCAAGCTTGACGGCAGCCATAAACGAGAACTTTAATGATTACTTGGATGCTCCGGTGAGGTGATGTGTTTGTCTTCTCAGGATGTTCCAACCCCTTACGCCGGTACATTGGAGGAATGGACGGTTGTTCAGCCAGCTCAGATCGTCACTGCCGTCCAACATCTCTGCCAGTAATTTTGTTTTTATTACCGTTTTCTTTGTTTGTCACGGTTGGAAAAACTGCGTGGGAAATGACACTCTCAAGTTATTGGTTTATACATTTTCTATTGACAACTTCCTTATATTCACATAACATTTCTTTTTCAGTAAACGATTTTATAACAACATTGTGTTAATTGTTAAACCAAAAACCTCTGGAACAGTAGTTGAGCTACACTAACGAACTTTCTAAAATACATTGTTATCGTGAATTATTGGAACCAAAGTGTAGTTAGTGTATTCATAATTCTTGCCGACGAAAAAGAAAGGGTTGTTATGATTAGTTTATATGGAAGCCCATTATCGGCCCATATTCTAGAATGTTCTAGCTTGTTCTCCAAGTTGTACCTCCTCTCCAAGAAAACCCTTCTCTTGTACTCTATATAAAGGACTTATTATTCATGAATAAGATACAACCAATTCATCTCTTCTCTTGTTCTCTCTTCTTACTATAACACGTTATCAGCACGAGTCTCTAACCATTAGGTTAAAACCCTAGCCGTCTAAGCTAAGAGGTAAGAGGAAATCAAATTTCCTTATTTCCAAAGATTAAACAAGATTCAATGAATAATTTCTATTATTTTGTTGATCTATGTTTATCATCTCAATCCGAGAAGGATTTGTAATCCTGAAGAATTACAATTACAAAATCATTTATATCCCAGAAGAATTTATATCTTATCATAGAAAGATTTTTATATCTATGAAGGATTTATATTTTATTTATCCCAGAAGGATTTATAAAGATTTTATATTGTTTATTATTTCAGTTACATATATATTGTTTTTATTTATTTTTATTTGCTTCTCATAAGATATTTGTTATTTTCGTTATATGTTTAATTGATTAATTGCATATTATTAATCATCAAATATTGATCTATTTTATTGTCTAACATATTGTTTAGTATTGATATATCGAAGACTTTATATATTGTTTAATATTGATCTGTTTATAAACTAAAAGGCATCAATCTATCGATTTATGATTCTTCGATTGTTAGATCTATGCTCCTTCGATTGTTGCAATTTGATTCAGTTACTTTGACTCATCTTAAGCCATGTGATAGATAACTAGGATAATTTATATTCTGGGTGAGCATCTTTATTTTATATGATATTTTTATTTGCACCTCATATGATATTTGCTATTTAAGATGATATCGATTTGGGTGTATGTTCATAATTGAATCATGCATTCATAGCAATTTAGGATTATTCTCTAATCCCCACATCATACTTAGTATTTATGATATATGATTCCTGTTACTTGTTTAGGCTGTGAATTCCTTTCTAAAGCATATTTAAAAAGAAGTGATAATTGAGGTTTAGACATGTAAAACATATCTTGTTTGTCAAACATGTTTTAAGTATTAGCAATATAGTTGCACTAACGTTTGATTAATGAGCATATATCGAAATGATCAAATAGTTGTTTGCTTTAGAATATGATTGGTATACATGCGCTTGTTTCGACTATTGAGAATTGTTAGCATTTAACAGTGAATCATTGGTTGGTTTAATTGTTAGAAATCATTGGTATTCACCATGAGTTTATGATGTCGATGATATTTATATGTTCGTAATGATTGTCGAATGTTTCAATACGTTGGTTTAATATTCTAATGCATTAGTTTAATCAATGATAAACTATATGTTAGACCATCTTATGCTTCTTTGACGAACCTGGTAATTTGATAAACTTTATTGCGCTAGCGTCTTATCGTTTCATTTGTTCGATTAAAGTGATTTCATGAGCATGTGTATTTGTTTATTGCTATCAAATCAAGCACATAGTTAGTGATGGTTAAGTTGTCTATTATCTGTTAATACATAAGTTGTAATTCATTGATCTAATTAATTTTGTCGTCACATTTTTGTATCTCTTATTGTGAAAATTGACTACAAAAATAAAAAGGATTGATCACCAGAAGTGATCTAATATAGCAATCCAAAGGAAAAAGTATTATCACCAGAAGTGATATAATTTTGAAATATTAATCTAAAGAAAAAGAATTATCACCAGAAGTGATATTATCTAAATAGAAAATTATTTCATCTAAGATCATATAACTTGAAGTTTATATGTGGAATAATATTACTAATACAAATTAATGTGTTAGAAGAAATCATGAAAATATTGTTGTCCTGCAGACACAATATGTTTAAGAGAATTTTATATAGTTGTCCAGTAGACACAATAGCAAAGAAATTCTTAATGATTTTTAATTTGTTATTTTCTTTTAAAATTAAATTTGTCACCTGAAGTGATAATAAAATAGTACATGTTACTAATATTAATTGTTATTATCATGTTTTACTTATACATATATGTAGCTTGATAATATTTATTTATTTTATTTTATTTTATATTTAGTATTTGCATCAAAAACCACATGACCTGAAGTCTATAAGTGGAGATAATAAATATTATGAAGATGTTAAAATACATCAAGAAAATTTTGTTGTCTTGCAGACACAAAAAACATTATCACCTGAAGTGATAATATAATTTGAGAATTTATTCAAATTATATCTTATCTTTCTAATTTTATTTTAAACTAAATTTGTCACCAGAAGTGATAATAAATGGTATATATTATTAATATTTATTTTGATTATGCTCTATTTATTTATATATATACTTATTTTTATTTTTATTTTATTATTGTCTATATGATTTTTATGAAAGATTACAAGACCTGAAGTCTGTAAATAACTTTTAACTATATAGAAGATAATGTATATCAATAGAGATGCTAAAAAGCATACTCTAAATAATATTGTCATATTGTCTGTAGACAAAATAATCTTAGACAATTTTACATTATTTTGAGAAAATATTGAATCATTGATGAAAATCATATCCAATTGGTTATGATCAATTCCCTGAAGTGAATGTGATATACAAGTAAATGGTTAAAGAGGTTATTGATTTTATATTGGAATTCAATTCGAGATAGATGAACCTGAAGTATCATCATCTCGAGGGGGAGAATGGATGAATCCCACAATCAATAATAAGTGGAACATCTAGAAGATTATGTTCACACTCAAGATAAACTTGATCATTGATCAAGAAAATATAAGAATCCCTAATTCATAATCCAGAAGATTATATTCAAAGATAAATGATCCTCATGAATCATATATTTTGGTTATACAGTAAACCAGAAGTTTACCGAATATAATATAATTTGGCATGAACTGGTTAGACCATTCCAGTTCAAGATATTATGCGAAATAAAATACAACATGTAGACATTTGTTGAAGAACTAGAAATTCTTCTAATGATTTCTAATGTGATATTTATCATATGAGATTATGATAATACAATAATTATCACTAGCCAAAATAGATTTTGAGTCTACTTCATTTTCTAGAGAGTATACAAGAACATATGTGGTTTAATAACCATTCGTGGACTAATCATCCTCTAAAGAAATTTTATGTATGTATTCATATTATAAATCTGCAACCTGAAGTTTGCAAGATTACTTGATAGTGCTGGTGAATCACATCTTAAGTCTTGATGAGAAAATCATGTTTGTAAGAAATGAATACATATTGAACATCCAGTAGATAATGTTCATACACAAAAGCATTAATTCGCATAAAGCCAACAAGAATTAAAAGTTCTCCCCATCAAAATTGGTTTTGGGTCAGAAACCTTTGGATGTGCAATATACATCCACATTGCTCCACCACAGCAATATAAGATAGATCTCAAAGAGATTGTAGATGTTGGATATGAATCTCCATTGATAATATCTAGAGCTATCATGAAGGATTTAAGTAAGGCTCGATTTATAGACTACCATGTTAATGGATAAGTCTTTCCAACATCAGGGGGAGAAATAAAAGGCTGGAAAGAAAAGTAGTTTGAATGAATTATCATTGATCCTCGGACTATAGAATGTGAAATAGAAGTCCAAAAGATAGTTCATTCACAAAACTTATTGTATCAGTTGCCAGATACATTTACTGACCCAAATATAGTGATTGAGTCACTTACCAGCTGTAAATGCTCTAATAAGAATTGATGTCCCAGAAGGACAATATCAAGCTGCTAGTGAGTCTAAAGAACGCATGAAGCGTGATAGACTTGTCGGTTCCAAATATTATAATCCTCGAAAAAGTAAAAGAGCATAAATTGACAATGGTCAAACCGAGGAAACAAATATTTTTGAGTGATCTCCAGAAGAGACATTAAACATGACAAATAAGAAATTCAGGTACCTGAGACAATGATGAGATCTCGAGAAATTACTTATGTCATGTATAGAATAAATGGAACCAGAAGCAAATCGACGTCGTAAATAATATATTTGCATGCAATGTAGCAGTTGATATTATGAATGAGAAAGAGGATCATGAAACAAAGTCTATTGCATTGTGTACACAAAGTAATGATTTGGCCAAATCGAAAAGAAGCAATAGACTCACAAAATCTCTTAGAAAGAGAAAGTATTTGGACCAGAAGTCCTTTCACCTAAAAAGTGTGAAACAAGTGAGTTATAAAGAATGAGTATGAAGAGATATACTCTCATGTGGTGGATGCAACTTTCAAGTTCATTAAGTCTGGCAATGAAAGAAGAACTTGACTTATACAACTCACTAAACAATGACATTTATATAAAAGTCCCTGAAGGATATAATCATTGAAGAATTAATGATATAATCGTTATGTTCCCGGAGAACATTAGCTATTCAATCAAATGAATAGAAATTTGATTCATGGATATAACAAAGTGAATATATAAAGCTAACAAATACCCATGTATATTTAACAAAAGAGATTTAGATCATGAAACTAAACATCGAAATTCCAGAAGCATTTTCGAAATTAGTATCACAAAAGGAGATGGGATAAAAGATCTTGGAAAGACAAAGTTGTCTTAAGATATCCCAAATTCCCAGAAATGTTATGGCATGATTTACATAAACAATGCTCACATATATTTGGTCCTGAAGTACCATACTTCAAATGCTATTTGAAAAATATGTTAGTCTCTTTCATAATTGAAAATGAGCAAAATGAGCATGAGATTATATATACAAGATAGATTACAAGAATGTATATAAAAGAGAAAATTTGGCCAGAAGTCCAAATGATTGTTTATAGAAAAAGATGTCATAGACTAAAAGTCTAAATGACTTTCATCAAAGTTATACTTATAGTAATCTCCAAAAGATAGTATTGGAATGCATCTCCTGAAGAATATGCTTCCAAGGGGGAGAATATGATGATATGTGTGGTTGTACTCTTTTTCCTTCTCATGGTTTTTATCCCATTGGGTTTTTCCATGAAAGGTTTTAATGAGGCAACAAAGAACACACAAATGAGAAACATCTAAAGAAGTCTTGTCATCTATTTATGAGATCAAGTGAAGCAAGGAGATTGATCAAGATGAATCATCTTGATCCATGCACCAAGAAGAATGGCGATGTCAATGTTCTAAAGACTGTTCAAGTGAAGATTTTAAAGGAGTTTCCATCTGCTATTATCAAGAAGTTCATTCACCTAATCTACACGGATGTTCTCATGAGGGGGAGTAGTTGCGCGCTGTACTCTTTTTCCTTAACTAAGGTTTTTCCCTTTGGGTTTTCCTGGTAAGGTTTTAACGAGGCAGCATCATGCGCACTTAGAAGATATTTTTAGATAATGGACTTCCAAGGGGGAGTGTTATAACTAGTTTATATGGAAGCCCATTATCGGCCCATATTCTAGAATGTTCTAGCTTGTTCTCCAAGTGTATTCCTCTCCAAGGAAAACCCTATATTGTAATCCTATATAAAGGACTCATTACATGGAATAAGATACAACCAATTCCTCTCTTCTCTTGTTCTCTCTTCTTACTATAACAAGGGTCATAATTGACATTTCATGATTGTCACCTCCCTGAAATTGAGGAGGGGAGAGTCAAACAAATTGGGTGATACAGTCGGAGCAACGAGAGAGATATAAAGGAAGAGAGATCTTATGGCGGCAGTAACAAGCGCGGTGGTAGCAATAGCCGGAATTATCTTGGGATGAATAACGATAGAGATGGCTTGTAAGCCTTGCCTTGAGAAAGGCCGTGAAGCCATCAACAGATCTCTCAACCCCGATTACGATCCTGACGATCAAGACGTTGACGCATCCTCCGGTGTTGGCGCTCCTCTCCTCTCCAATCGTCCACCGGATATCCCCAATCCCTCCGATGCTGATCCCCGCACTGCGATCAAGTCAGTCTGATCGGTCCTTGATTTTTTTGTGTGTGTCTGTATTTACCTGAATTGTCATCGTTGTGTAAACTTATATCTGATTTGTCTTGTGCTCTTTCCATCGTGTGTTTTCTTCGCTTCTTATAGCAATGAACTTGAATTAAAAAAAAAACAAAAAACAAAAAAACCACTCTTGCATTTATCAATATCTCTTTAGCATTGGACATATAAAGATCTTGATGAAAATAGTAGAAATCTAATCATACGATTTATTAGGTTCCTGTTTGTGGGAGGGAAGAATTGTGTTTTTCTTTCTTCCTACCTGTCAATGATTAATCCACACATAAAATTATGTTTACTAGGAGAGAACCCGCGCAATGCGCGGGTTTATTAAACCAAATATTTTTAATTTAATTATTCAGAACATTAGATTCCAATATATCATTTGTTTTTTACTCGAATATATTAGATTCTGTAAGTTTTGCATTTTGTTTTTTTTTCATATAGTTTTAAAATTTAGTTGTTATTTACGTGAAATCTTATATAGACTCATAGTGAATAGTTTCATATGTTTTTTGTTCTTTTATACAATAATTTATCGACTGGAGTTGAGTTCTTCTAATTTTCCTTATACTAACAATCATTATAGATTGATTATTATCCTAAGGGATGACCTAAGTTAAGATTATTCACATTAAACCTAGGAATGATTAACGATTGAGTTGCATATTTAAGTTATGCGATCACATATACTTGATATCATATTTGATATCATTTGACAAAAGAATTTATATTTGACTCGGATCCTTAAGCGATTTGGCCCTCACATCTTACTAACATGTCTCCTATTTGCAGCAAGCTACTGAGATAATACACATTGAATATAGTCAATTTTTTAGTTTTTTCCTTGTAATTTTTCATACAGCCAGAAACTAAAAACAGAGCAAGTGTTTTATAACACATCTAAGCATGAAGAGAAGATCAAATAAAACAATCATCCTTGAAGGTCTAGTAATGTTCAACGACATGAACTGAGGCAAAAGAATACACAACTCAATACATATGAATATCTCAAGTATGGATGGATATCCAGATTTACTTCAGCAACCTGCACCTCCGTGATAATCCATGGGGAAACAATTTGAAGTAAGCTTTTATTCTTCATAGTAGCTTCTATTGCTTAAGAAGTTACAGCAATGCCTCGATTGTCAAAAAGTTTCCTAGTAGTACGAAGCTGCTAGGGATAATAAAGTTACTTGTGCTTACATTTTCGCAAGGCTAAGCAATAAGAAGCATCCATCTTCTACCTCCAACCGAAGGCACCAAAAACCTTGGAAAGTCATATTACAAACGAAGTAAAGTGAATGAGGGATAAAAGGGATATAAGAAATAGGAAAATTTTATTAAGAGTAGTCAAATTTTATAGAGTCTGAGAATACAAAGTAAGAGAGGGAAAAGAGAGGCAAGAAATCCATTCAAGCAATAACAAAAACAGTAAACGAAACCATACACATACAGATTCGGAGATTCCACAAAACACAAAGCTTTCTTCTCTTGATGCGCATCTCCATTTGGAATCAGAGATGGTCTGGATGGTTTCATTTCTTGTTCTTGTGAAAGAAACGTTTGAATAGCTTTAGCAGAGGTACAGTTTAAGATTTATAACACTAACGTTATGAGAAGAAACTATAGAGAGCCAGCATGTAACCAAACAAACATGCAGCTATGAGAACTGCAATCTCTGCAATACATCCAATTGAGAGACAAAGATTCAAAGAATGATTGAAGAAATAGAAGAAGAGAATTTAGTATTTTTGGAAGTTTACCAAGAGGAAAACATATCAGTCGTCAAAATGGAGTTGAAATGGAGCGAGTTACCAGTCTCGGCCTGCTATCTATGTCTTCCAATAGTTCTCATCAGCAAAATTCATATACATGAACATTTCAAATCAAGAACTCATAGTAATTTTGAAAGTTGGTAACATGTAGATAATAAGTAAATACCCAGAATTCAGAATAAAAAAAACCTTGCTTCCGTGGAACACCGTCTCTACTAAATACTCATTCTCGAAGTTGACCATCGATGTCGCTGCAATTGCTGATTTCCAAATAAAAAATCCACGGAATTTGTCAGAAATCTAATTTGGAAAAATAGGTGAAAGAACCGAACTTGTTTCGGTGGTGGTTTTAAGTGACCCACTAACAATCTCTGCGAAAAAAGTGAGATTCGAACAAAATGTGGTTAAATAGAACTCCGGTGGAAACCCCATCAACTAAACAGAGATTGAATCTGCAATTGAAGGGAAAGAGATTGTAACAAAATGTGTAGACTTTACTTACTCGCAGGAGAATTAGCATACAGAGCTGAAGTTAGAAACCCAGAAAGGATACCCGACGGTGTTAAACCTACAGATCCGTGGAGAGGATGATAAAGCGACATGAGAGAGACATGGCGTCGGAGACCGAGAACCGGTAAAATAAACGGAACCGATCGTGATGAGAGGTAACCGTGTTAGTGATGAGAGACACTGGCGGTGCGTCACGTCTGAGGAAGTTGAATTTTTGTGGGTCACGAACAGATTCTGAGATGAGAGAGACGGGATCTCTCGGTGAAGGTTTTTATAGCGGGTAAGGAGAAATGAAGGGGGAGGAGCGTTACATGTGCATTCAAAGCCGGCCATGGCGGTAGAGAGACCTCTGTAACGTCGGAAAGCTGGAGCTTGAGAGTCGCCGCGGAAGGAAAAAGAGATGTGAAGGGATTTTGATTAAGATTTTTTTTTTTTTTCCACGAAAACGATGTCATTTTGGAAGCAGGTGGGAGAGGCACAAAACGACGTCGTTTGGCGTTTGGAAGAAAAAAAAAAGAAAGTGCCACGTGTCCCGAACTGGAGTGTCCAAGCCTTATTAGTTATTTAGATTAGTGATTGACCCATATATAAATGGACACTGTAAAGAAGATCTTGGTAAAATCGATATTTGATGTCTTGTGTTTCAGCCAAGTAATTTCGGACCACTGAGTTTAGTTAGTTTAATTGGCAAACTAGGGTTTGACCCATGCCCTGCACAGAGTGATGATTTCTGAATTTATATTTTTTAATCAGAAATGTATATATAACTATTTTGAAATTTTATACGATATATTTTTCACCTTGGTGAGATTCTTGTATTGGTTTATAATGTGGAAATTAAGCATTTTAAACCATTTTCAAAAAAAGTTAAACAAAATTAAAATTTTGATCGTAGTCATAAATTAAATATAATAGATTTAACCGAGATAAGTAAAACTAAAATTATTACAATGTAAAAAAATTGTTCAAAGAACAAAAATAAAAATAAAATACTATTCTTTTAAAAATTTTATATATAATGCATTTTATAAAATAAGCAGTTATGGATGTATGCACACAGATTATATCTTTTGTAACTATGCAAACGGATTATAACTAACCTTTTTTCTCTTTCATTCAAAACTAAAAAATGTTTTATTATAATTTGAAAACAATTCGACCAATAAGAAAACAATCTGCAGTATCCAAATTGTCAAAACAACAAAAATATAATTACAATTATATTGAAAGTGAAACAGATAGATCAATATTCAAAAATTTTATCAAAATAAAATATTTATAAGAAGATTTGTCTTATTTGATTTAATTATACCGTTTAATTAAAAAAACATATTAAATCGAATAAAAAACCAATTTACATTTGGATACCTACTCTCCTATATCATATGGTTGCACATCATCTATTTTTTTATATAATATATTTTTACTCCTTCACACAATAACATATCATATATGGAAATTTTAAGAGTTTTAATGATTTTTTTTTAAATCATAGTATATATAGAAAAAAATTAGATTTTCTTTACTAAATTTCTTATATTGTGATTCAAATTATTTTATAAAATAGAGGTAAACAAAGATAAAACGAAATATCTAATGATTTTAAAAAAATAATTATTATGATAGAATTTACTAATTTTCGTAATTGCCAATTAAGAAAAGAGAATGATAATTTTTTATTATTAATAGTTACATATATGATTAATTTAGTAATACAGATTTAATTCCCTAACCAAAAATATAAATGACAATATTTGTAATTATTTGATTCTCTAACTAAAAATATGAATGACAATATTTATAACTATTAACATGATAATTTTATGTGCCATATTTGTAAATAGTCTAATTAAGATAAAGTTATATTTAGAAAATCCTGAGAGTGTGGCAAATGCTGACACCTCACCATGTCTTCTCTTTTAATATATAAGGGATAACTCGGAACACTGCAATATACATATTATTATTTTTTTTTTTAATAACCCAGGTGTCTGGTCCACAAGAGGTCCTGGACGCCACAGATGGGTGACAACTAGCGCTGTATCCAAGAAAATTGGCGTGGCTCTGGGGGCCCGGAGGGACCATGTAAAAACCCCGGTAAGCCAAGGGGAATCGTATACATATTAGTTGAGTGAACAAATCGCAGATTTTAGCAACAAAGCACGCAAATATACAATCCATAGAAGGCAAATGTTTGATGCTCAACCAGAAAATCGCTGCACAAAACCTCAAGATCACAGTTCTCAGATGTAGCATGGAAGATCTCGATTCCAAATACCGGTGCTCTATTCAGTAATTGAGGTCGATTTATCCTCAGATTATTTGGTTGCTTGATTGTTCAAATAACACATTTGAACTGATTGCTTGAGGGAAGAGCATTCATCCTCTCTAGCAAAAAGCATATGTGATATAGGTGGACCATTTTTACTAGCTCTAGAAGACTGAAACCACGGAGATTGCCTTTTTGAATGCTATTGCGAATCAGAGCTGATAATCCTTCTGTGCATAGTAAATAAATGTAAGGGGAAATTGGATTACCTTATTAGGGATGATTTTTTCAATGTAAGAGGAAATTGGATCACTTTATTAGGGATGATATTTCCAACTGAAGAACCATTCACGAGGACAGAATATATGACAGTTGTTATGCACTTCATGACCCAATTTTAGACCATGTTGCATCAAATCCCAAGCGCTTCATCACTGCTTCAACAAAAAAATCCATTCATCTTTATCACTGTCACATATGACATAACCTAAGCTGCATGGAATCGGAAGCGGGTACGCGGAAGCGGAAGCGTTAGGAAGCGTAGAAGCGAGTTTTTTCAAAATATATATATATATATATATCATAAAATACTTATATAAAACCCATATTATATTAAAATGTTTTTGAGAAAAAAAAATTCAATACAACAACTTATTTGAAAATAACATATCGTTTACAAAACAACAAACAACGGCATAAATTTTAAAATACCTTTATCATTCTCCTCTAGCCCACGATTTGGGAATAAACCAGAGTCTTCTTTCTCCCGTGACTTTAACTTGTAAATTTCTGCAACTCTCATAATCTCTTTTGTTGAGTTATTAGTTTAGGTTAATTCGATTTTTAACTTTTAACAAAATAGGCTAAGTGATGGGTTGGGTCACAAAACAATTTCTAAACCCAAAAATAGTTGTTGACTTGTTCAAGAAGTAAAACATGATTCATCACTCCATCATTGTCCACGCTTCCGATCAACGCCATCACGCTTCCACTTCGGAATCATGTGCTTCCGTTGCGCTTCCAACCAGCTCATTGTCGGAGTCGCGAATCCAAGGCGCTTCCGGACGATTCCGAGCGCTTCCGCTTCCGGAGCGAGAAACGTCTCACATGCAGCGCTTCCATGCTTCGTAGGACATACCTTTAAAGTTATAGTCTTCCTCATTGAACAGTATCGCAAAACACATGTAAATCCTTCTCATCGACAAAGATTTCTTGTAAAAAGAGAATTAAAATTGAATTATGGTGTTAGTGTGAGCACGCGTCTCAGATGGTCTTAATTGAGGGATTATTTACAAAGTTGGTCTACTGTAATCTAGCTTGGTCTCCTAAGTGTCATTTATTACGTCGATGCCATTAATGAATCCGAGTCAGCGAGACAATTAACAAGAGAAAACAAAATTAAAATTCTTCCAAATTCAACCAATGAGAAGCTCAAAAAGTCAACCAATGGGGTGCTCTCAAATCTAATCCGGGTCGAAACTGATTTCCTTCTCGATCTCGAAAAATACGAAAAAACGCCAAAAAGGAGCAAGCCGTACTGTTTTTCTTCTTCCACAGCTGATCCGATTCGTTCCCTGCAATTGAATCAGGCATTGAAGCTTAGGATTCGAACCTCTGGTGCGTTAGTCTTTGTTGTTGTTTTTAATTGCGTTCGATTGTCTCATTTTAGTTCCGATTGCATTGGATTGGATTTAGGCATTTCTGAATCCATTGATTGAATCGGGATGAACCGTTAATAGATTATTTAGCAACTTGTTCAATGTTGATTAGGAGAGTATTATCATGTATTAACATTGACTGAAGACAATGGTGGAGGATTTGTTGATTTCGAACATATTGTACAACTAAGAATTGAGGATTGTTGTTTTCTTGTGCAGATTATGAGTGGAATACATTTAACAAACATCTTATTTGAGGTTCTGGAAAGGATATCTCACTCTGTTTTAGTGGATCGAATATGCGGGAAGATTGCAATTAATGCGTCTAGGAGTAAGCTTAAATTGAGTTACATCTCAATGATCTTTAAACCTAGAAGACGAGTATATGTCGTTGATGATGAGGATATTCAAGCTTACCTAAACTCGACGGATAATGAGCAATGTAGAAGCGTCTTGAATGTGGAGGTATTGATTGGCAGTGAAATGGAAAGTTCTTTTGGGGTGAATTATGAGGTTAACAACGCAGGTATCATCACTCTATACGAAAACACAGAGAAAGGAGGAGCAGACGAAAACACAGAGAAAGAAGTAGAAGAAGACAGTGAGCCGAGAGTAAATGTTGACGTTGGTGATGGTGATAATGGTATGGATAATGGCATGCGTAGCTCTTCCTATTTTCATGATCATTTTGAGGTTCCTCGTGCTAACCTAGGATGTGATTATGTTGATGAATGGGATGATGGATTGGGATTGGAACTAGGTCAGGAATTTCCAAGTAAGAAGGCAGTGCAAGACTTAGTTACTAGAGCTTGTCATCGAAATTGTTTTGCGTTTAAGTTAGCCAAATCGAATAGAACACGTTATGTTGTAAAATGCATCAATGGAGAGAAGGTTGCGCCTGGTACTTAAAAGCAGCTAAGATTCCACATTCACCTTGTTTCTCGGTGACGGTTTACACGGGTAAATACAGATGCTCTCGTGCTAGTGCGAGTACAAGCATGCAAAAAACCAGAGGCACACCACATCTAGTTGCTGCTGTTTTGAATGAAGACTATGGAGGGAGTTATGATACACCAGCTCCGAAGAACATCCTGAACATTGTTCAAGAAAGATTGGGTGTGAAAATGTCGTACTCGACCGCATTAAGAGAGAAGCATCAAGCTATTAATGATGTGCGAGGTAACCCTGTAGAATGTTTTCAGCTGATCCATTCATATTTTTACATGTTGGAGAGTGTAAACCTTGGCACTGTCACAAAGGTGAAGCTTGATGCAAATCAGAAGTTCCTATATTGTTTCGCTTTAGCATTGAAGGTTTTCAGGCTATGAGGAAGGTCATCATTGTCGATGCAACTTCTTTGAAGACAGCATATCCAGGGGTGCTCGTTTTTGCCACAGCTCAAGATCCCAATCATCACCATTATCCACTTGTGTTTGGCATTATTGATAGCGAGAATAATTCAAGTTGGGGATGGTTTTTTGAACAGCTGAAGACAGTTATAGGTGATAGTCCTGAATTAGTTTTTGTTTCTGACAGACACCAAAGCATCATCAAATCAGTTAGAGAAGTGTACCCATCTGCTGAACATGGATATTGCACTTACCATTTGTCCCAGAACGTGAAGGGAAGCATTGGCTCCAACAAGGACGAATGCGCTGCACATTTTATAAGGTGTGCAGAGAAATATACCTACGCTGAGTTTTCTCCATGTTATATGGACTTTCGGAGTCGGTATCCGAACGCAGCAGTGTACCTGAATAATCATGTGGAGACTAATAAATGGGCGCGATGCTTATTCAAGGGAGCAAGGTATGATGTCGATACAAGCAACGTGGTGGAATCAATGAATAGTGTGTTCATGAAAGCTAGGAAGTACTCTATACTACCTATGTTTGATGAGATATTGAAGACCTTTTCACGTTGGTTTAACGAGAATAGAAAAGAAGCCGGCTCTGTTTCGACAGCAAAGAAATTGGTCCCGCTTGTGGAGAACATAATGCATGGCCGATGTGAAGCTGCATCCAAGTTACTTGTTTATGAGGTGAATTCCTACACACTTGGGTACTCCGTGAATGAAAATCGAGTGAATCGTGGAGTTAGTTTGCTAAAAAAAAGTTGCATATGCAATCGCTTTGACATCGACAAATATCCTTGTGTTCATGCAATAGCTGCTGTTATAGCATTGATCAGGAGTGAGGATAGAAGCGCCGATGTGAATTTCTATGATCTAGTGTCGAAGTATTACTTAATGAAGACGTGGTTGCTAGCTTATTACATGTCAATTTATTGTGTGCCGCATAGGTCGCTTTGGAGTGTGCCAGAGGATATCAAGAAAGTAGTCGTCGTCCGCCGGACCAAAAAAGAGAAGAAAGAAAGACCTCAAGAAACTCGATTTCCAGGGCCTCAAGAACGTCGTCGTCGTCGCCGGCGGAAGAAGACTAGCAATAAGGATAGACCTGATCAAGATTTAGGAAATTGGACTCGAAGAGAAGGAGATGAGGTTGAAGGAGATTATGAGAGCTATTCGGATAGTGATTCGAGCTATTCGGATAGTGATGAGAGCGACGGAGATGGCTACGAGAGTGACGGAGATGGTGATGGGAGAGACGGAGATGGTGATGAGAGAGATGATACCCAAGGGATTAATGATAAATGTTTAATAATAAATGTTTTTCAATTTTTGAGCCTAGTTTTGATGAATATTTAATCTAATCATACTATTATTTGCAAAGTCAGAATTTCGAATGGAGGCACCACGTTAACTCTCAGCCTCAGAATTACATAACTACCCTTAATGAAAATCTTGAATAAATCTTTCAATTTGCTTATTATCTTATTTAAAAACGAATTTATTTAATTTTTTAAAAAGATGACGATTTGGATTTCTTCCTAAATTATTTTTGGATATATACCGTATAACTAACATATTTTGCGCCACATTTATGGAAGAAATTTAAAAAATTGTAAAGCATAAAAAATTGGAAAACCTAGGTTTGTTAACCGACTCTGTCTTATATATAGAGATAGCAACAAGCAACATCAACCCAATTCTCATTACATGGCAAGATAACATATCGTGGATTATGTGCATCGGCACGCTCTCTGTTATAGACATATGATTTGAGGAGAAGGCTGAGAGAGGAAAGAAAGCCAGCATCAATGAGCTGGCCGAGGCATGACTTGCTTCAAGAACAGATTTATTACAGAATAATCTTATTATAGCTTCAAACCAGAAGATGGATGTTTTGATTACATTTATTTTTATTTGATCTGTGTTGCTTTATTTGGCCAATCATTATCACATAATGGTATATGAAACGAGAAACTATGCAGGAGAGATTGATTCCTCAACATTGAGGTATGGTCCAATAATTATGGGAAGATTATGATGTATTTAAGAGGTGAGATGATTTCTTCGAATCCATATTCCATCTTCTGTCATGTAGGTTTTTCGTTTTTAGTTAGATCTTATTAGCCATGATGATTAACTGATTGTTCATAATTTCCTGTAAATTTTATTGAAGGATTTCGATCTAACTTCTCTTTCGTTAACCTTCGTTACAATAAATTAAGAATTGAAAAACTTTGTTATGATGTATTCTAATTACCCGTGTTGTGTGTATCGTACTTTGTTTTATAATTTGCATATGAAACATGATTCATGTCCACGATTGCGGCAGCGGCGGTGGGGTGAAGAATAATCTGATTTCTTCGGCAAAACTCAGGATCTCTAAACTGGTATATAAAGTTATAAACTACTATTACTCCTACTTTATGTCCGACAAAAACTATAAACTGGTATATAAGCTGATTCCGTCTGCAATGCTTCAAGTTTATCTTTATGTGACTCAGGTTGTTAGTATTGTTGGTTAATGTTACAATAAGGATTTGATTGAATTCTCATTCTCTTCTGTATTAGCTTAGTTCTTAACTTTATTGTTTCATATGGCAAACAATTATTGGAAATAAATTGGTCAGGATGAATCAAAAGGTGGTGCCTCTAAAGAATTTTCGATTTTTGATTTAGATCCATCATATTAGGTCTTATAACAGCTGGATGTGAGTATCAACAGTTCGGGTCTTAAGTCTCTATACTGTAAGATCGTTGAGGAAGAAACCTATTTATACTAAAGTGATAGATGTTTTAGCTCTTTAGGTTTCAAATTTTTGTTTAGTTCGTAGATAGTTTTATTCTGTAATTTTAGGGATAGTTTTTCTCTTTTTCTTTATTGATATATGTTTTTGTTTGTTTATGAAGGTTTTTATCATACTGATGATTTGATTGTGTTGTGTTTCTAGGTTTCATGGAGATGGTGTTTAAGTTGGTAAAGAACACAAAATAAAGGTTAAAGGTTAATTACTATATCAATATCATTATGTTTTTGTAAGCCTCTAAGATTCACATTATTATTGTATGGATGCAAAACCTATTTATGTTACATGGTCCTTAGATTGATGAGATATATACAACGAGAAAGATATATCCAATATTCTTGATTTTTTTTTATGTTTTTAAAATTTTCTCTTTTTGTTTCAATTCAATATTGTGAATTCCATATGTCGATCTCTTAGTTTTTTTCTTCTTTGAGAAGACCTTGATTTTTGGCTGTAAATTCCTCTTGGCAGCGGGTAATCACTAATCAGGAGGCGCTCGGCCCCAACGCTATTGCACTAAACATTGATCGTTGATTGCATGTTCAGATTGGTGATGATTGTCGGAAAATCGCGACAGACTTGAACACAATGATTACTTCTGTCCGAAGAACTTGGTAACTGGTAACAAAGTTTAGTTGGTTACTTATCAAACAGTTTCTTCGGCCTATATTTACTAATAGAGTTTTTTTTTGTAACTCAGAAACACAAAAAGAACAATGAGAACCCTTAGATTTGGTGAACAGGCTAAATCCATGGGAAACAAACGAGTGATAAATGAGATATTCGAAGAGATGTGAATGATTTGAGTGACCAGATTCGTTTTCTCTTCCACCACAGCCCATTTTCTTTTTTTTTGTCTTTCGGTTTTCAAGTTGGCTATCATTCAAAGATCATTTACCATATGCTTTGCAGGAAGAGCTTATAAGAGCCAAAACTGATGTTTGTCATTATGTTGGAAGTAAACTAAAACTGATTATTTCAGAGCAACAAATACACGAAAAAATTGAATCAACAAAGAGTTAGTCTTAACCACTCTTTATTGCTGCCAAAATTTGATATTGACGAAGAATAGATATAATAAAACAGTTGATGAGGATGACAACTCCAAAAAGTCAAATTTTGATACTGGTGACTGGTGAGAAGGAGGCATTACTCGAAGAAATTGGAGATCTGGAAAGCAAGTTGCAGACGCCAAATAACCATGTCCACCAACGAACTGAGATCATCTTTGTTGACCCTTTCGTTTCAGCTATGTAACAAGAATTTTGAGAAAGCTATCAAAGAAGAAACACTTAGGTACACCGAAATGGAAAGCAAGTGGATATCGACGTGTTAATTGAATATATATTTCGTGGGTTATTGATTGTGTGTGTTGGTGAAACTATATTTATAACTTGGATTCAATCATAGATTGAAGAAGCAAAGTATAATACCCGAAAAGATGGATTTAGATAAAAAAAACACATATAATGAAGAAGAAGAACATAATAAGGAAAATTTGAAAGAAGAAAATCGGAGGATAAATAAGACGAAAGTAAAGTACGAGAAGATAAAGACAAAGAAAACCAGAAAATTAAGATGTTACACAAATAAAATAAAGAAGATGAAAGAACTACAACTGAAAAAAAAATAGCAAAAAGATATGAGGAGATGAAGAAAAAGAAATATGAAAGACGAGAAAAAAATAAAAATAAAATAAAGAGGAAGACGAAACTGATAAATAAGATGTTGCAAAAAAGAAAAAGACTGATACTAGAAAATGATGAAGTACAAGTTGAAATAAGAAGGAAAACTTGAATAAAAATAAGGAAAGACAAAAGTTGGAAGACGAAGACAGAAAAAACGAACAAAAAAACAAAACAAAAGAAGAAAAGAATTGAAGAATATGTGAATAATAAAGAAGTGGAAAAATAAAAAGATAAAAAATGAAGAATAAGAACACAAAGCCAGTTGAAAAACAAACTGTAAATAAAAGGAAGAAAACGAATAAAAACCAGGAAATAAAAAGATATCGATGAAGAGAGAGGAAAAGAAAAAGAGATTATAAATTTTGATAAGAATAAGGAAAAACGGTAGAAAATGAAGGAAAAAATATGAAAGAAGTAAAAAAAAAAATTAAAAATGGGGTTGGGGTACACGATGTACGGTTTATACTGATAGGCGCAAAGTTTAATTTTTGTTGCATTTTAAAAAATTTGAATACACTACATTACCGATTAAAAACAAAAAAATAAGGAAAAAAAATAAAAGCAAATCCAGAACCAGTTTGTAAAATGTGGGGTTCAGGTGTGCGGTTTAGGGGAGAGTTATAACGTGGGGTTTCGGTCTAGGGTGTAGGGTCGTTTTGGGGGGAGGGGAAGAGTTATAACGTGGGTTTGGGTTTAGGTGTAGGGTCGTTTGGGGGGGGGTGGTGTTACAATGTGGGGTTTGGGTTTTAGGGTGTAGGGTTTATATTGATGGGTGTAGGTTTAGTTTTTGTGCATTTTAAAAATTTGAATTATTATAGAAATCAGAATTATAAATCATTGATTATAACTTTATATCTACCTTTCTAAATTACATTCACAAATAGAAAAAAGACTATACCAATTAAAGCAAATCCAGAATCGAAAGATAACAAAGATTTTTAAAAGATCTCAACTATATAAAGATAAAAAAAAACTATTTCATAAATCCTTGAAAATCTAAACTATCAGATGAATTGATAGGTGGAATACAAGACGTACACAAGAACTAATAAAAATACGAGTAAAAGAAAAGAAGTCAATGGAAAAGAAGATGAGAAATATGGAGAGGAAAAAGAAGAAAACTCGAATATGAGGAAAAATACATCAAAGAAGAAAAAATGGAATGTAAAGAGAAAAAAAAGACAAAGAAGAGATAAATAAAAACTAGAATAATATGATGTCTCAGAAGACGAAGATGATAAAGATAGGGAGTGAGGGGAATGAGGAAGAAGAAAAAAACGTAAAAAGAATGTAAAGAAAATTAGAAAGAAAAAGAAGAATAGTAAGTTGGAGGATATGAAGACACAAGAAAGGATTGAAGAACGAAAATTCAAAAAAGAAGAAGCGGAAAAAAAGATGATGACAACGAATAAATAAATGGAAGAAAAAAGAAAAGATGGGATCAGTGAAAAAGAATAAGAGGGAGAAGAAAACAACCATTACAAAATTTAACTATTTTTTTGTACTTTCACAATTTATAAGTTCTTATCAAATTAACAAAATATTAAGCTATTACTTCCATGGAAAATAAACACATTACAAAAATATGAAAAGTAATTAAAAAGAAAATGCGTTAATCTAATATTAATTGAATTCATGAATTAACAAAATCTTAACTATCGAATGAATTGATAAGTGAAATACAAAACGTAGACAAGACGAAAAACAAGAGTAAGAGAAAAGAAGACGATGGAAAACAAGATGGGAAACTTTGAGAGGAAGAAGAAAACTTTAACACGAGGAAAAAGAAAAAATGGAATGTGAAGAAAAAAAAAGACAAAGAGGAGATAAATAAAAACTATAATAAGATGATGTCAGAGAAGACGAATGATAAAGATAGAGAGAGAGAGAGGGAGAATGAGGGAAAAGAAAAATCGGAAATAGAATGTAAAGAAAATTAGAAAGAAAAAGAAGAATAGTGAGTTGAGGATATAAAGACACAAGAACCGATTGAAGAACAAAAATTGGAAGATGAAGAAGAAGCAAAAAAAGAAGATGATGACAATGAATAAAAAAATGGAAGAAAAAAGAAGAAGATGGGATCACTAGAGAAGAATAAAAAGGAGAAGAAAACAACCATTAAAAAAAAGCTTTTATAAATAAAATAAAAATAAAAGCAAATCTAAAACTAATTTATAATATGAGGTTGAGGTGTAAGTTGAGGGGGAGTTATAATGTGGATTTGGGTTTAGGGTGTAGGTTCTTTAATTAGGGGAGGAGGGGTTTATAATGTGGAGTTTGGGTTTAGGGTTTATATTGATGGGTGTAGGGTTTATTTTTGGTGCATTTTAAAAATTTGAATTATTATAAAAGTATATCAAAATTAAAAATCAATGATTATAAATTTATATCTACCATTCTAAAATACACTCACAAATAGAAAAAACTAAAACAATGAAAGCATAACCATAATCAAAAGATAACAACACAATTAATTAGATTTTTAAAAGATCTCGACAATATAAAGATAAAAACTATTTCACGAATCCTTGAAAATCTAAACTACAAATGAATTGATAAGTGAAATATAAGACGTAGACAAGAAGGAATAAAAACACGAGTAGAATAAAAGAAGACGGTGGAAAAGAAGATGAGAAACTTCGAGAAGAAGAAGAAAACTCGAAGAGGAAAAAGAAAACAAAGAAGAAAAAATGAAATGTGAAGAGAAAAAAAGACAAATAAGAAATAAATAAAAACTAGAATAAGATGATGTCTGAAGATGATAAAGATAGAGAGTGAGGGGAATGAGGAAGAAGAAAAAACGTAAAAAGAATTTAAAGAAAATTAGAAAGAAAAAGAAGAATAGTAAGTTGGAGGATATGAAGACACAAGAAATGATTGAAGAACGAAAATTTGAAAAAGAAGAAGCGGGAAAAAAAAAGATGATGACAACGAATAAATAAATGGAAAAAAAAAAAAGATGGGATCAGTGAAAAAGAATAAGAGGGAGAAGAAAACAACCATTACAAAATTTAACTATATTTTTTCTATATCTTTCACAATTTATAAGTTCGTATCAAATTAACAAAATGTTAAGCTATTACTTCCTTGGAAAATAAACACATTACAAAAACATGAAAAGTAATTAAAAAGAAAATGCGTTAATCTAATATTAATTGAAAGGATTAGAGTTCTAAAACATCTCTTGCCAGCGCAGGCGCGGGCCAACTACCTAGTAACATAGTAAATATATGGTTTAGGGTTTAGGATATTAAAATGGGAATCATTAATATGGTATAATTAATTTAAAAGTTTTGTATTGGATAATAGAAAATTGGAAAGTTAACGATATCCACCTTATAATTTTAAGGTCATTTAGTTAATAGAGACCAATTAATGTTGTGAATGTTGTATACGTGAAGGTTTGAGAGTTATTATTACATAAATAGGTTAAGAATGATAAATTTGTAAGTATTGAACTTTGTACAACAAATAAATTTGCGTGAAAATACAAGTACAACTATATACAAGTTTTAGACGACAATGTACAACTATTCAGGAGATGGTACAACTGATTTCCTGGGTACAACTATGTGTATTATAAACAAAATAAGACTTTGGTTTTGGCGGCCACCTGAACTTTTGTCTTTTGTCTTTTTCTATTGTTGTTGTCTTCCCCAACTATAAAAATAAGACTTTGGATTCTTCTCTCCCCCCGTGAACCACACAATCTCACTTTCCTCATTTTCCACTTTCCCCCAAAAATTAGGGTTTTCTCAATCTTCCTCCTTCTCTCTCGACACGACGAGCTGCAGTAAGTTTTAATCGAGCTTTCATTTTTTTCCTTTTCTTGTTTATTCCTTCAATCTTTCGCTCGCATTGCTTTCCTTAATGCTCTGCCACTTTTTTGTGAGCAGCCATGGACCTTACTGTCTACGACGAGGACATGAAGAGGCACATTGAGCGAGTTGAAGCATACTCGTACTGTGACGGCATAATGAGGTGGGTGTCCTTGTGGTGATAAGCTGACCCAGCAAATCATCGACAGCACAAGATACATCCCCTGCTCGAAGAACAAGGTATGACATCGATTTGGAAAATTAGGTATAAAATTGGTAGGGATTTTTGATGAAACTAATTGATTTAGGTCGAGTTACATTTTTAATTAGTTAGATTGTTAATTAGGCTAGGGAATTTTGCTAGATTGAGTAATTGTTTCGAATAAGGGGAATGAGCCCATTTGAGCTATATTATTTCGTTTTATGCAGTTCGATAATTGGCTACACTATCGGAGAAGGTGGGATGAAGTTATGTGGGAGCAGGTCGTGGCTCTCAGGGCAGAGAATGAGAAGCAGGAGAAGCATATGCGTCAGCTTCAAGGCGACATTGTGCAGAACAAGAGGGAGATTGAACATCTCAAGGCACAACTTGACCACCTCCTGAACAAGAATCTGCGTGAGCTGACCTTGGGGCTTTGACGAGCCGGCTTTGACCATGTCTCCCCCTATGTATTGAAGCTAGCTCTATGTATTTCCCTATTTTCCAACCTTAATGACTCTAGTTTGTGTAATTTGTGCTTGTTTTAATGACTCTATGCTTGCTTAATGTTATAATGACTTTATGCTTCTAATTATTGTACTAGTTTGCTCATTTTCTTTTTGCCTTCTTTTAATTACACGAAACAAAGTAGATAATGCAAACCAAGAAACCGATTTCACTATCGAAATTAAGTACAATGAAAACAAGGAAACATCATCCTTAGCAACAAGATATCATCCAAAACAACAAAATCCCATTAATAACATCATCCTTAAAACAACAAAATACCATTAAAAACAGAGGCAAAAACAGAGCCTCCTTTAGTTCCAAAGATGCTTCAAAGTATTGCACTAACACTTTGAAGGTATAAGAAAAGTATTGCACTAACACTTTAAACCTTCAAAGTATTGCACTAACACTTTAAACCCGCAAACCAATTATGTTAACACTTAAAACCTTCAAATTAACTAAAATTTGTGTGCCGTCAAAAATGAAAAAATATGACCGATTCATATCCTGTAAAACAATGACGTGTCTGTAATTTTTAATTTTTAAAATAAAAATAATAAATTTAAATTCTTCTTATTTTTTCTTTAATTTGAAGTTACAAATTAAAAAAAAAAAAGAAGAAGAATATTTTCTCTTTCTTCTTTCCATTCTACGACAATCTTCTCTTTTGAACAAATGCAATGAAAACTAACCAGATCTCAGTTATTGACTTCAATGAAAACCATATCTATTTAATTATATATTACTATGCAAAACCCAAACCTCATGATCTACTCTAAAAGGCAAAGCTCATTACTGCAATTGAACACACGTTTAAACAAACTCTAAAATCATATTACAGATTTTAATTATTTGACCAAATCAAAATGAAAACTCGGATCTATTCTTTTTACAATAAACAAATTTGAAGATAATGATTTGTTCATGACGAAAGGGATAAATATATTGTGTAGATTAGAGCAGTTTGAGGATTCCGGATGGCTCTGTCAGTCATAGCTCTGTGAAATTCACCCACATGCTCTACAACCAGGTGAAAGCTTCACATTCTAAATCTGATCCCAAATTTCATCAATGCTGAAGTTTTCCGACGAATTGATCAAATGATTTCTGAATTCCCATTTACAGAGCTTTACGAGCAGGTTATCAAGTATGAGGAATGTTTGTTATTTTAAAAAACAAGTCCAAATATACGAGAGATGAATATTGAGGATAGTGAGTATCCCTTCTCTCTCTTCTCTCTCTCTTTCTTTCCTGTCTCCAATTGCGAAATCAATGGAGATTCAGAACTTGAATCGATTTTGTACCCGAAAACGTTCGGAAATCATGTCTTTAGTGATGGGGGGGTTCCTAATCATCGCGGCGGAGCAATGGTGCTCAAGTAAACTCTTCTCAGCGGTGGAATTTTTTTTATTTGAGGCATGGTTTGTGTTCAGTAATAAGTATATCGTATGATTTTATTGTATAATTGAAATCTGGGTGAATCTGTTTTTTGTAGTATTTTTATTTTATTGTATGAAGATGAAGAACGGGGAAGATGAAGATTCTTTGTTGTATTTTTATTTTATTTTAAATGCAAATCAAAATAAAGAAACAATAACTTGTTAAAAAGGATAATTATCCCCTATCAATATTTTAGTATTTACTTCTAAACTAAGTTTTCTTACCGCCTCTCAACTTACCGACTTCATGTAATAGATTAATATTTTACACTCTCTATAAATAGGGAATTCAATACTTGTTATTGTAATAAATTCAAGAGAAATTTGCCTAGATGACCCAATTATACGTCGTATTTAGCTAGAAAGGAAAGTGTATTTTTATGTACATGCAACTTTTCAATAATACAATTATGCCCCTTCTCTCTCATCACCTTGTTTACTCCACAACTTTATCTCTCTCTTTCTTTCTCTTTTCCTCTCTTCTCTCCCGATTCTAATTCTGATTTCCTCTCTCTCTCCCTTTCTTCTCTCCTAATTCTGATTCTGATTTGAGATTTTTATTTACCATGAACTATGGCGGTGGTGACGCAGTGACAACACGGCGACAACGATGCGGCGATGATGACGCAGCGGCAACGTCAACAGCGCGGCAATGACACGACGACGAGAACAATGCGACAGTGACGGGGCGAGACAACAATGCGGCAATGATAACGGAGCGACAATGACATGGCGATGACAACAATGCGGCAACGACGATGCGGCGACATCGATGGTGATGGCGACGACGGGACAAAAACTACATTTTCACTTACAAGACTCTGAAGAGAAGATTCTCCAATCACGTTCTGACACACAATATCTGATCTGACAACACCATTTTTGAAGGAAAATGTACAATATTATTTAAATGTACTAAATCTTTCAATAACTGGTCATCTTTGTTTGTAGCCTGCTAAAAAAAATTGTAACACGAATAAAATTTTATATCATTTTTTTTACATTGTACAATATTGTTTTTACGTACTATATATTTTAGCAATAGTCATCTTTGTTTGTAGCGCGCTAAATAAAATTGTAACACGAATAAAATCTTGTATGATTTATTGTTTGTTATCCATCTAACATATTTAATATCCCGTAAAATATAAACTTAAACGTAAATATACATGTGTACATGTGATATAGTAATTGTTAGCATGTATCAAAAACATGTAACTCGTTAATATAATATATCTCTCTTTAACTGACTTGTTGTTCATTACATTTTTCCTTCGTCCCGTCACCATTTTTTATATGATTATTGTTGTTATCTATTTAATATATTAAATATTCAGTAAAATATAAAGTTAAACGTAAATTTATATGTGTATATATGATACAATAGTTGTTAACATGATCCAAAAATATGTAACTAGTTTGTTAATGGTAAATAAATTTCATAATTGTTTCTTGGAGAGAGGAGAGAGAGAAATGCATTCAGTTTGTGAAGAGGCCACATTCAAGAAAGAGAAATGCATTAAAGTTTACGGTGGCCCACTTCGGAGGTACTATTTAGTATTTCACCACCATTTTTTGTATAAAGTATCCATACCCTTCCCTATACTTCCCTTTTACCTAAATACGGACACTATACTTCCCTTTCTCCACCATCCTCCACCGAGCTCTTCTTTCCGTGTTTTATCCACGTCGTCTCAGAGCCTCCCTCCGAAATTTTTTTGTGTAACCGGTCAACCGCACATCAGCCATCCATCGCCTCCGTCTGACAATGCATCCCTTAGCTATCACTTCGATTCCCTCAACAAGCTGGATCACCGGTTTCCGCCTTCTTAAATAGTCAATCGGCGTCGTCTCGATCGAAAGAGTCGATTGAGATTGTTGATTGCTACTTCGGACTTAGGGCTCTTTTCTTCCCAACAGGCTCCCTCCGAATCAGGTTACTCCGCTGTAAAGCCCAAGACATTTTACTCATTGTTCATATCTGAGCCCATTTGTGATTTACAATAACGTCTCTCTTCGTTGTGTTTTATGTCACGACCTCTGTTTTTTCATCAGACGAATTGGCTCCCCGGCTTCTGTTACAACTCATAGAGGTCATGTTTCTTCGTCTTTTGCCTCTCTAATTTCCCTTTGCCATTTAATAGCAGTGTACTAAATGTCATTACACTCATATTCTCAGCTCAACTCAATACCTGAGCGTTGCATATGACTATAAATACCGACAAGGTATTAAGAAGATAAATCGTTTTTTTCTCTGTTCTCTCTCTCTCGCTCGATAATTCGATAATCTTCTGTGTGATTCGGTTGAAGCTAGCGGATCTGTTTGACTATGGTGGAGGTCTTGTGAATCCAGAGCAGCAAAACCAGGTGGTCATGTATATGTTTTGTATCACCGATTCGTATGTTGTATCCTCTATCTGACTCGAATCTTTGATGTGGTTTCTTATTTTCCTGTCCTGATTTCATTGTAAAGATTCGGCTACATAAGCTGTTATATAGGTCGTAATCCAGTTGCAATGTGGCATATAGTTAGTCGGAGTTAAAAGCTGTGATTCCTGCTTTTCTTTGAGAATTATTCTATCGTTCATGCTTTCACTTTAATGCTTCTGTTATTCTGTACAAAACGTCAAGGGCCATGGAGACTGTCGTCAATCAACATGGTCTTGAATTGAAGCTTTCAAGTTATCACGTCTTCCCCAGGCTGGTGGTACGGTGGTACCCAAATAGAAGATTATGGCTCTGCACATTTGGCTGGTATATACATCTTTCCTCTTTTGGTTGAGTTTAGAGTTTTGTGTATCATGTGGTTATCCTTGTGCTGGTCTTATTGTTTTGTTAAATTCTCAATCTCACGATAGGAGTGAAACAATGAATAAAAAAGATGCGAAGTCAAGTGTAAAGAGAAAGAGGGGTGAATCATCGTTTTCTTGGGAGCAAAATATGTATAATTCCCAGATATTTGATATTCACGGGACAGTTGAGGAGACTAGAATAATAAGCAAAGTGGAAATACCAGGTAACCAAGTAAGAATGATTTTGGAGAAAAACCAAGAAACACAACCTTTTTGGGTATAATTTAAAAGCTAAGAAACAGACCTTTTTGTTCAAAAAAAAGAAAGAGAGATTTGCAACCTACAATTCTGTTATTTATGCATGCAAGTTACCGACATATATACCAAGGAGAAGCAAATTGTGCGTTGATGAATCTCTTTTCTCTATTGCATCTTCTACTTTTGGGATGATGGTGAAGGTGGATGAGATACTATAGAACTGGGATACAATCCATTCGTCGTTCTCTGTCGTGAAGACACAAAGCGGCAACAACTTGAGCAATGGAAGTAGCAGCAAAGCTCAAGGAGAGGAACCGAAAGGCGACGGGGATAGTGTCAGAAGTGGAGAAGAAGGCGGATCAGAGAGTAGAGACAAATCTAAGAGGAAATGGTTCAACTTGAACCGTAAAGGATCAAACAGAGGATGTGAAGACTCTGAGAGGCAGAGCGGAGTGGAAGAGAAGGAGACAGTGAGAAAGAAGAAAGATTTGAGATCATTGATGGAGGAAGAGAAGAAGACGAACAATGTGGTGGTGATGAGTTACGACACGAACTATTACAGACTCTCTGCTGACATTGCCAAGGAGACTTGGATTGTCGGTGGAATTCAAGATCCTCTGTTTCGAAGTCGAAGCTGGAAGAAATGATGTTCTTGTTCTTTATACATATTTTTCTCTTTTTTTCTCTTGTGAGTTAAAATCTTAAAATAAACCTGTTCTCGTAATAATATTAGTGTGAATATATATGGGATTGGTTTCATCAAATGTTTCACTTCTTTGCTTCTCTAGAGTCTGCTCTGATTCTTACTACATGTCATCTGTTTACAAATTTTATATTTTGTGTGTGTTTTTAGTTTGTATGTTTGTAACAAAGACTTTAAACTTTCAAAAATTACGATACGACTTTGATTTTCATTGCAACTGGATCTCGATCTAGAATTGATAGCCGATGTTAGTACGATCAGCCCAAGTGTGTGAAATTGGTTAACAGGCCTTTCAACAAACAATAAACGGTTAACGGGCCTTTCAACAAACAACAAGCGGAAAAGGCACGCTCATGATATGATATATATCCAAACACAAATACAAAATCTGATTAACAATGAAGACAAGCTTTACTTTAACGTTTACTTTGGAGGAAACTACGAGGAAATGAGCAAGTAAATTGGGTTGGTACGTATTACAGAATTAAGAATAGTCAAAAGAATGAGCATCTTTTGTCAGGTTCTGACTCGGAAGCAATCGTTTCCGAGCAAATGTTTCCGAGCATCAGCCTGGCTTTATATAATTTTAGATTATGAATGTAAATCAAGCTTAAAAATCATCATTCATAATTTTTTTCGTCACAAATATAAACATTTCAAGCAAATATTAAGATAACTATATAAAAATTATACAATTTAATTAAATTAAACTGTCATCAATTGACGAAACTAATGAAAACTCCATTATCATCAATATCGTAAAATTTTTATCATTGCTTCACACTCTCCGTATGTTCTTGACTACCCAAAATTAAACCGTCATCAATTGACGAAACTGATGAAAACTCCATTATCATCAATATGGTAAAATCTTTATCATTGCTTCACACTCTCCGTATGTTCTTGACTCACCCAAAATTAAACCGTCATCAATTGACGAAACTCATGAAAACTCCATTATCATCAATATCGTAAATTTTTTATCATTGCTTCACACTCTCCGTAGGTTCTTGACTCACCCAAAATTAAACCGTCATCAATTGATGAAACTCATGAAAACTCCATTATCATCAGTATCGTAAATTTTTTTATCATTGCTTCACACTCTTCGTACGTTCTTGACTCACCCAATTTTATAAGCATATTTTGTAAACTTTTTGGCGTTATGCAGATTTTGAAATATAAGAGATAAAATATTGACAAGATTCAAATGACAATTAAAATATAAGTAAAAAGAACTTTGTAATAGTCACAACCCACGCATCGAGCGGGCTTAGCCCTAGTACTTATTAATGCATCTTTGTTAAATCCAGAAATGACGAATTTGAGACTCGTGATGGAGATATGTGTCTTGCAGACAGTGCTACAACGCACACAATACTCAAAGATAAAAGATATTTCTCCGGTCTCAAAATTAAAGATTCCGTTGAAAGCGTGAATACCATTTCTGGTGGTGCAAAAATAATATTGGGCTCTGGAAGAGCCAATTTTTCAATGCCAAGGGGAACAAAGTTTGAAATAAATGATGCATTATATTCCCCGAAGTCTTACAGAAACTTATTAGTTTCAAGGATATCCGTAAAAATGGATATCACATAGAGACTATAAATAAGAATGGCATTGAAATCCTTTGCATCAAATCGGAGGGACAAATATTGGAAGAATTGAAAATGTTGTCCTCCGGATTATATTGCACAAATATTACTCTGACTGAATCATATGTTACAGTAAACCCGAAGTTTACTAGTACATTCAAAATCTGGCATGAAAGGCTAGGGCATCCAGGTTCAGTCATGATGAGAAAAATTGTGCAAAACTCAAATGGCCATCCGTTGAAATACGGGAAAATTTTAGAAACGGGCGAGTTCATATGTAATGCATGTTCTCAAGGAAAACTCATAACTCGGCCATCACCAGCGAAAGTTGGGAATGAATCCCCTGTGTTCTTAGAGAGAATACACGGTGATATATGTGGGCCTATTCACCCACCATGCGGACCGTTTCAATACTTTATGGTATTAATTGACGCATCAAGTAGATGGTCACATGTGTGTCTTTTGACAACACGAAATACGGCTTTCGCAAGATTCATTGCCCAAATAATCAGGTTGAGAGCACAATTCCCTGATTATACTATTAAGAAAGTGAGATTAGATAACGCTGGTGAATTCACTTCACAAGCCTTTAATGACTATTGCATGTCATTGGGAATCGATGTTGAGCATCCGGTTCCACATGTCCATACACAAAATGGCATGGCTGAGTCTTTGATTAAACGGTTGCAACTGATTGCAAGACCGTTAATAATGAGAACAAAACTCCCAATTTCAATATGGGGTCATGCTATTTTGCATGCTGCAGCGTTGCTCCAAATACGACCAAGTGCTTATAATATATATTCCCCATTACAATTAGCATCTGGTCAGGAGCCAAACGTATCCCATCTCCGTGTTTTTGGTTGTGCGGTTTATGTTCCGATAGCACCGCCACAAAGAACAAAAATGGGGCCACAAAGGAGATTGGGAATATACGTTGGGTATACGTCACCGAGTATTATTCGGTATCTTGAACCTCAAACTGGTGATATGTTTACGGCACGTTTTGCCGATTGCCATTTTAATGAAGATGAATTTCCAGCGTTAGGGGGAGGAATTAAAGAGGTTCCAAAAGACCTCACATGGTGTACACCGAATTTGTTACACTTTGATCCCCCGACAAAACAACGCGAATTGGAAGTTCAGAAAATTATACATTTACAAAATATGGCAAATCAATTACCAGACGCGTTCACAGATACAAAAAGAGTGACGAAATCATATATACCCGCTGCAAACGTTCCATCAAAGATAGATGTTCTAAGGAACAAAATGATGGAAGCATAGCAAATGCACCCAAAGTCCAATTAAAGAGGGGGAGGCCGATGGGCTCTAAAGATAAAAATCCCCGAAAGAAAAAGAATTTGGGAGAAAAGGTTTTCAGAAGAACCTTGTAAAGAAATATGTCTAGAAGACATAAACAAAATGGTTTTTGAAGAACCAGAGAAAGAGATTCGTCCAGAAGACGAACATGATACAGAAAAATTTGAGATTTCCATCAACTTCGCCCAAAATGGAAAAGTATGGACAAGAAATGAAATAGAAGATGATGATGGAATATTCTCTTTTTCTGTATACAAAGAAATCTATACTATTAAAGTAGAGGCACAACAAAAGAAAGTGCACTAACAAAGCGCCTATCCCTGTAGCCAAACACTCATTTAACTAGTAATTAACACTTAAATCAAACCGGTTGAGAGATTTCGATTCTAAGTTCAAAACCGGGTCGCAATTTCAATCCAAAACCGAAAACCTAAAAAGATCAATAAAGTAAGCACGAAAAATCAGCGCCTAATTCCATATCTTAAGCAAAATCTAAACATAAAAGAAATCTTCCAAAAAATAAAACGTATTAAACTTTCCTCATAAATTTCGAATTTAAAGTATTCCAGCTCGATCTTTCCAAAACTATCGGTGTATTTCTTTTTTAGAATCCAAGATATCACTAACAGTAATCAAAAGATATTCTCTTCCAATCAAAATCACGGGAGTCTTTCCACAATCTATGCAAAATTTAGGAGGAGAGTTAAATGATTGAATATCCCTCTCAAAAGAATATGCGTGTGCTAATATTTTGAAACCCTAAGAAACCCTCCCATCACAAATACTATAAATACAGTAGAAGAAACCTTAGAAAAACTCATAGTTTTCTAGTACTCAAACATAGATGACTTTTGATTTCAGTATAGATGCATTTTTCTTCCAGTTTTTATATATTATAAATCTTTTTTGCTAATAAAAAACTATCTTCTATTTTTAACAGATATTTCATCACCTACATGAAGAAGAAGACGAAATCATAGATCAAAATAACGGTATGAGACAATTACACTAAATCACTTCTTTATATCACATTCTCGATCTCTTCTAATAGCAATTTTCAATCTGTTTCAGGATGTGAAGAAGGAAGACGATCATGTTTTCTCAAAATCCTATTTTCAAGTATGATTATTTCTCATAACTTCACAAAGCTTAAGATGTCAAACCTTACAGGTCTTCTTGGCGAATCCGTGAGAGAGTTCTCCACATTTGGATGCAGTTCATGGCACTCTCTGGTGAAACAATGGAGGTAATATATGGAGACGAAACTGTAAGAATTCCTCCAATAAATCATGTCCAGTATTTGTTAAAGTCCTGCATACATGAAAACAATCAATCAACAAATCAAGAGGTCCATGTTACAAAGAGTTATGTCGGAATTTGTGAGTCTATCAACTATTTTTCTACATCTTGGTGTCTGTATGTGATGATCGATCTACATTTCAAAAGTTTCTTTCTGGTCATTAGCTATATTACTCATATCTTCTTTATTGTCTCAGGCTTGAATCAAGAGTCAAAGATTGTAAAGATGAAAAGCAGACATCAAGAACAACATAGAAGAAAACTTGACCGAGCCTAGGAAGTCATCACCAGAATTATACTTTAGCATCACTTTCTATTTTTTGTTCGTCGTTTTAGAGATGTAGGGCATTATTGTTATGTCTTACTAACATGTTATGTTCTTTTTATTAGTGGTATGCACAACTTCTAAGATATTTCAAATATATCAAGCAAACGTAAAGTTCCACTATGAGGTTAGACATTAAAAGGAAGTTGTGTTGAAAGAAGTGCACAACTATGGAACGCTTAAGATGTTCTCCTGTTTCTTATACTACTTTGTCTTTATATGACTAGAATAATTTTATAAGTAGTTTGGATTTGTATATACATCAAATAAAAGCATGACTTTAGACTCTAAATCATCATGTAGATTTTTTTTTCAACTGCAAACATATTCCTATATAGTTCAGTACCAATTCAAGATCGAAAGTTCACGGAGAACTAACCTTTGTCATCCACGCTCAATTCAATTTTTTGGGCTTTGTCTCAACATGATTCAAATCTCAGAAACGGGAAGTAAAATTTGTCATAGGAAGGAGATGACAAAGACTTTACCTGAGATTATGGAAGCTAACGACATCAGATATTGATGCTAAAGGTTGTGTTGATGGAGAATCACAGTGAGAGTTGCGAATCTCTCAAAATAGCTTGAGGCTGACGTGAAGACGATTTGAATCAACAGAAATATGTGGTCTAAAGAGATGTAGAGATTCTCACCAGAATCACATCTAATTCTCACAGAGACAGGAAAAGAAACAGGTCAGTTTCAGGAAATCAGTTTCAGTATAATGGAAGACTAAAACTAAAAGAGATGTCAAGATAGTTACCTGTCAGTAAGAAGGAAGGCAAGGCATGTTTTTTCAGCTCAAGGTGGAGTAGCAGAAAGGAAACAAAGAAGATTTGAGAATTGGGAATTCTCATAAAGACAATTAAGGAGTCACGATTCTTAACAAAATTAAGAAGAATAAGTAGATGATCATGGTTCAAGAGATTTACCAGGAGATCATCAACAGAACAGAAGAGGTCCGACTTATCATTGGAGAAGCTGCAAAGAAGACAAAACTGAAACTCACGTTTATGTTTCAAGTCCCAGGAGTTTATCACAATGATAAAGGAGAAGGAGGAACTTACCGGAGTTTCTTCTAAAAGATACAGCATCGGAGACTGATGCTCAAAGTCACGGCGGCAGAGGAATCACTGCAGGTGGAGCTAACGTCGGATCTCAAATTGGATCCGTCACCGACAAAAGAGAGAAGCTTCTCAAATTGGTTCAATTTCCGCAAAGAGAGGAGAAAGCTTCACGCAGGATGAACGGCGGCAGTCAGGATCGTTGGCGTCATCGGATTCGCCGGAGAAGACGATTACGAAATCACATGCAAATCGAATCGCATATGGAGCTCACGAGGAAGGAGAACTATGTCGAGCAAATGGATGAAGGCATGATCATATAATTAAAATAATACTATTAAATAATTGAGGGTTAAAAACTTAAAATATGATTAAAAAAACATATGTTGCCATAACAACATTTTAATCAAATTTGAAAAAATATCCAAATTTAGAAACTT